TCTTCGCACTCATCACCATCACGTAGTATTACTTAATTAATCCATAGAGAGAGAGAGAGAGAGAGAGAGAGAGAGAGAGAGAGAGAGAGAGAGAGAGAGGTTATGCAGTTAGACCACAGATATCTCGTTGGTATTTCCCATGTGTGCAGGAGTAGCCGCACTGGCTTTACTTGTGCTACTTATAATCTCCACGAGAGCATGTGGATGGTGCTGACCCTTGCCTATGGTCTGTCTTCTTGCCTTTTTGTTTGGAATGGAATGTACAACCTTGTCCTTGGTCTGAGCAGGTTGATCCTTGCCGATGATCTGTCCTCACATCTCGGCCCAGTAGGCTGAGTACTAGGCTGAGTACTAGGCTGAGTACTAGGCTGAGTACTAGGCTGAGTGGGCTGAGATGCTGTTGCCATGGCATCGAGAGTAATTCCGCGTGCTTCGCGGACGGTTGTTAAAGGTGCATGTTGCGTCTGCCGAGGAGTTCCTTCTCAATGGAGCTTACCCTCTCTCTCCACTGATCGGGCTCTGACAGTATCTAGGCCACGATGGCCTGTAGCGAATTCCGCACTGTATTCCCGGAGTGCAAAGCTGTGCGTTTGGACTTCAACGAACCATGCCAGACAGCAGGGTAAAGGCGCAGTCTTTTCTCTGCGATCCGGCCTGGGAGGAGGAATGCAATCGATCCCGCGGGTGCTTCCTCTTAGCAGCAGACCAAGGGGCTCGGCTGCAGTTGGCTGCTCTAGCATTGCCACAAAGGCAGCGGCAAGGCCGGGGCTAGAAACGGCCGAAGAAGAGCAGGCCTCGGTATCCGAGGCTGAAACTGAAGATGGGACCGAAGCCATCCCAGCTAGGGGTTCCGAAGGCGGCGACTTGAGCTTGCAGTGGATCAGCCGCACCGACCTGTGCGGCCGACTGTCAGAGAGTGATGTGGGAAAGAAAGTGAGAATCTGTGGCTGGGTGGCCTCCCAGCGGACCCATGGAGGGGTAGCTTTTGTTAACGTGCGTGATCACACAGGCATTCTGCAGGTCACGTCGGACCCTGTTAACAACCCCCTTCTTCATTCTGTCGCCGAAAGGATCAGGGCTGAGTATGTTGTTGCTGTCGATGGTACCTTGAGACTTAGGCCCATAGACATGAGGAATCCGCGCATGGAAACTGGTTCCCTTGAGGTTCTTGCCGAGGATATCCAGGTGATCAATCCGGTCCGAAAACCGCTGCCTTTCTCCATTTCCAAGGGAGCTGAGGAGGCTGGCGAGCTCCCCAAGGAAGAACTGCGGCTGCAGTATCGACATCTGGACCTTCGGCGCCCTCAGATGCAGAATAATCTACGGCTGCGCCACAAGGTCATTAGAACGCTGCGGAGGTACCTTGAGGATTCGCTTGGTTTCATCGAGATAGAAACGCCGTTGTTGACGCGGTCCACTCCCGAGGGAGCCAGAGATTACCTTGTCCCATCGAGAGTTCAGCCAGGTGGATGGTATGCTCTTCCTCAGAGTCCTCAACTGTTCAAGCAGATGCTAATGGTTGCTGGCTTTGACAAGTATTACCAGATTGCTCGGTGTTTTCGAGACGAAGACCTGCGAGCCGATCGTCAGCCTGAGTTTACTCAGCTTGATCTGGAACTCGCGTTCACCCCGCTGGAGGACATGCTGAGCATGACTGAAGGCGTAATGCGCCACTTGTTTCGAGAGATCAAGCAAGTAGACCTACCCGTCCCTTTTCCGCGACTAACTTATTCAGAAGCTATGGCCCGGTACGGGAGCGACAAACCCGACTTGCGTTTTGACATGGAGCTGAAAGATGTATCTGATTTGGTCGCCGATTCCGGCTTCCGCGTTTTTTCGAGCGCCGTCGCGTCAGGGGGTGCTGTGAAGGCCATGACGGTTAAGGGTGGGTCCGCAAAGATCTCGAATGTGAGGCTCAAGAAGGGGGATGTGTTCCAAGAGGCAACAAAGGGAGGCGCTAATGGCCTAGCTTTCTTGAGGGTCCTCGAAGGGGGTGAGGTGGATGCCGTAGATGCGATCAAGTCCAATCTGACGGCCGAAAGGCGGCAAGAACTCCTGCAGAGGTGCGAAGCGGACCCCGGGGACCTGATTTTGCTAACTGCAGGCGAACGAGCGGTAGTCAACAAGTCATTAGACCGTCTCAGGAATCATCTAGCCAATGAGCTTGGACTTATCGACAAGTCAAAGCATGCAATTTTGTGGGTGACCGAGTTTCCGTTATTCGAGTGGGATGAAGATGAACAACGACTGAAGGCTGCGCATCACCCGTTCACGGCACCAGTTGCTGAGGACATGGGTAACCTCCGAAACGCACGAGCTCTCGCATACGACATGGTGTACAATGGGGTGGAGATTGGTGGAGGAAGTCTGCGCATCTACAAGCGAGAGGTTCAAGAGAAGATCTTTGAGGCCATAGGCTTGTCCCGGCAACAAGCCGAGGAAAAGTTTGGGTACCTTATGGATGCATTCGACCTCGGTGCGCCACCGCATGGAGGCATTGCATTTGGGCTCGACCGGCTGGTGATGCTTTTGGCAGCACAGCCATCCATCAGGGATGTCATTGCGTTCCCCAAAACTACACAAGCGCAGTGCGCATTGACGAAGGCCCCTTCCTCTGTCAGCCCCGCACAGCTCAAAGAACTCAATGTGGAGTCGTTGGTTAAAGATGAGGAGCACAATAAAGATGAGCAGAAAAACAACACATAGAAAGGTGCTGCAAGAATTTTGTTCTGGAGTGCATGGTGCGATTCGCTCAGCTGTCTTGCCCCTTTTCATTTCCCAGTTTGTTTTGTCGTCTTGTGAAGCTAATCTGTGGTCAGGTATGTGTGGGCGGTTGTGGGATCACTACCTTTTCCCCTCCTCCTCCTCTTCTTTCTGCTGCTGCTGCTCCTGCTGTTTTCACTCTTCGTCCCTCCCCCAGTTCCATCCCTATAACCCACAGAGCCTGCTGGTGCTCCTGCTGTTTTCACTCTTTGGCCTCCCGCAGTTACCCCTATAACCCCGATGGAGCGCAGAGGCATGTACCCGCAATCCACCGCAGTATCACTTTGTGTGCGCCCATTCTAACCACTATTTGTGTGCTATTGTTGCCCCCCGGAATAAAACTTATGGTCATGATCTCTGTACTTGGACCGAAAGCTTCATCAAATACAGGTGTACAATGCCCCATTATGCCCGTACGGTCTATTCAGGGGAAGAGGGTAGGTTGTTTCCATCTTTTCCGTGATCCGTGTTCCCTCCAGTTCTTTGGCATGCATTGGGCAGTCCCAAGCCCTGGGCTAAATAAATGTTGGACTCGTGAATACGCCAGGCTTGGTGTTTGCAAGGCATATTGAGAGTCAGACGCTACTGGTGCTATGTTTGTGCATGCTTGCAAAGCACCTCATCAGTCCAGTTACGTGCTGTTAATGAACAAATCCATGGGGTTGCAGATCCTGTGATCCTGAGGGAATCACACAATATAATAAAAGATGGTTCCAAAAATAAATAAATAAATAAATAAATAAATAAATAAATAAATAAAGGTGGTCCGAAAGGCACAGTATCTGGACTCGCTGAGCAGGAAGTCGCTTGTAGGGCGATTCGAATGACGAATGCGATTGAAACACGCGGTTGTGGCTTGCAAGCCTGCGTGTAGTGGGCTACCTCATCAGTTTGGTTGCCTGCTGTTAATGAACAGAACATGGGTTCAAATCCGGTTGGAATCAGGTGGTAGAGTATCCGGAGTCCGTGAGCTGTAGCTTACGGCAATTGCAATTGTGACACTTTGCTGTCGCTTCCAATCCTGCTTCTATTGGGCCACCTCATCAGGTCAGTTGCGTTCTCCTGCTGTAGGAGACTGTCTTCAGGCAGAAGATCCAAGATGTGGGGACACCTAAGGAACCCAAGTTCACAATTGGTTGGAATTCGGGATTGCCCGAAAGTGCAAACACTGGGGGCGACAGAAGGACCATAGTTGTGATTGATGCCAGACATCACAAAAAGTCCTACGGAGAACACGGATGGGCTCACTGACATGTCAGGCATCAGTAGCAGGCATTCTCTTCTGGGTGTCGTTTCCATTGCATTCCATGGGCTTAGTAGCCGCAATGAACTGCAGAGTGCAGACACATGATTGCAACTGTGGTGAAAAAGAAAATGCTGCTATAACAGGCACTACGGTAGTAGCAGCTGTAACAGCCGCAAACAGCCGCGAACAGCAGCAAACAGCAGCAAACAGCAGCAAACAGCTGCAAACAGCAGCAAACAGCAGCAAACAGCAGCAAACTGCAGTGACTGCAGTGACCGGAATGAGTTGTTGCTATTACTACTGCCTTCGCCCGAATAGAAATAGAATGCCCGGTCATTATAATAGCTGTATTCAGGGCAACTTTCAGTCCAGATGCAGCAGCTATAATGACCGGGCGTTCTATTCGGGTGAAGACAGTAGTTGCAGCAGTAAGCAGTGCCAGCAGCAGTTAACAGCAGTCACCGCCAATGTAAGACGTAGGAACATCAACAATAGAAACCAACAGCGGCGGGAATCATAAAGGAGGATCGCGGTCCAATGTAACTGTCGATAAGTAGATCACGAGGGTCTGAGACGGATACAAGAAAGGTAGTGCCTACCCGCTCTTTTCTTTCAAAAATAAAAATAATTTATTAATTTGTGGTAGCAACAATAGAAAATAACAGTGGTAGCAATAGTGATACTACTATCACAATACATAATACTATCGGAATCTAGGCTACTACCGGAGTGGCCCGGGGCCAGTTGCCCGGCCGGGCCAAAAAAAATAAAAAAAATAAAAAATAAAAAAGATTTTCTTAACTTTATTTTTTATTTTAAATTTGGTAAAGAATTTCGTCGTGACCCTGCGGCAAAAGTTGTTCAGTTTATTTTTCTGCATAACACAGTGTTTTTCGTTTTTTTCTTTGAAGGGGGGGTTGGGGGGGGGGGTTGGACCTTCCCTGGGCCTTGCACGGCCGGGCCGTCCGGGAAAATAGGGTACCCGGGCGGCCCGGCTGGTAGCCTAGATCCGAATAGATAATGCTATCATAATAGTAATCAGCGATGACTGTAAGTAGGGCTACAACAGCGAGTTCTGATAAGAAGTCGCAATCACAGTGGAAACTTGGAAAGTAATTAGCAAAAGAAACTGGAGTAAGGAGAACAAAGGAAAACAGTAACTGCAGTGGAAAACAACAGTGCTCTTAAAAAAAAAAAAAAAAAAAAAAAAAAAAAAAAAAAAAAAAAAAAAAAAAGGCAAAGCAAAGAAAAGTAAAAGAAACAGACGCTGTAGTCCAGATAGTCATGTACCAAGCAGAGAGCACAGTGCACCAAGATACCATCCAAATAAGAGCAATACAGTGAACTCAAATGTCAGTGCCAACGCTCTCTGCCCACACCAACGTAGTATTCAGTGTCGCTCCTACTGATTGGCGCCCAGCACCCAGCCTACTTCACTCAGCCTACTTCACTCAGCCTATCTAGCCTATCTAAGTTCATGCAACGAGATCACATCGAAGTTGAAGACCAATGCAGGTGACGTCATCACCAACGCAGACCGCCAGGCTACCTCAGGTACGTTTCTCTGTCTTCCCCTCATCACAGTCTCCCCCACTGCATGCGCCTTCTACCCGAAGACCACCATCGTCATCACCGCGCCTGGGCCCACCAGCCCGGCTATGTCCGCTGTGCGCCCGCTGCCTCAGCAGCACCCCTCTCTCACCTCTGCGCCCGTGCTTGGGTCTGGCCTGCAGCGCTAGCGCTGCTGCTCGTGCGCTAATGCAGCAGCGTGGCCACATTGCCCACCCAGGCCAGAATGCCTTGCCCCTGGGTGCTCACTTTCCTTTATGGAAAAGTGTGCCTTGCCGCTGGCTGGTCTGGGCCTGGCGTGTAGGGCCCCAGTAGCTTCAGGTTGGCCCAAAGTATCTGCGCCCAGGTTCAGTTTCAGATACTGGCTGAGGCCCCGTGCAGTTAAGCACACCCAGGTAGCCCACGAGGCTCCAAGTGTTCAGCGCGATCTCATTGGCTCGCGGCTTGTGTGTGACGCAGGAGCTGCTTTCTCATTGGTCCGCGGCCGCTACGTGATGTGTCAGCCTCTTAGTGCGTGTGCCCAGGGCGCACAACCACCTGAGCCCTGGGCTCAACTGTACGGCGCAGCTGCTGCTTCTGGAAGGAGCCAGGGAAGGCTCACGTTGCTCTGTAACCAAGTGGCGTGCTGTAACTGTCTGGTACCCACATACGAAGAATGACAAAAATAGGCCTCACGTCGATATGCAGGCCCGCCTTCACTTAGGGCGGGCACAAGGCTTGCCGGGGCCTTGCGCGCAGAACGTCTGTGTGCCCGCTAGGGGCTTGCGAGGGTTCAATCCTTGCATTTAGTTCGTCTAGGGGTATAGGACATTGCTTTTTCATCGCTAAGACAAGGGTTTCAACCACCTAAGGTCCGTAAGGGCTCCATAATATATATGATATATGATATCTATCATATCAAACCGACAGGTTTAAAAAGCGGATCACTCACACTACCAAAGCTCGTCAGTTGCATGGTACAGCAGGAGTTACAACCACAATCCTCAACAGCAGCCGCAGCGGTGCACAATAGCAACATCACACAGCAATTGGAGCGCATAGCAACAGCAAAATGCTGCTTCAGCAGCAGTGATGATGCAACAGTGACAGGATTGCAACAGCAGGGACACTGGGACAGTGAATACCAATAGAGTTACGGACTGCGCCAGGGCTCGATCCCTGGTCTATCTTTTTTTTTTTTTTTTTTTAAAGCGCGAGTCGTCAGCTCGTGCTGATTACGTCCCTGCCCTTTGTACACACTGCCCGTCGCTCCTACCGATTGAATGGTCCGGTGAAGTGTCTGGATTGCGGTGATCTCGGCGGTTTGCCGCTGGGGGTGCTGTGAGAAGTTCATTGAACCTTATCATTTAGAGGAAGAAGAAGTCGTAACAAGGTTTCCGTACCTGGTCTATCTTTTTGCTGTTTCGGCTGCATCCTGTTTTCGTGCTGGCACCCTTTTTTCCAAACCCCTCCTTTGGTACTGTAGGATTTTGGACAACTGGCGCCATGCTGCAATTCGGGCGCCACTTTCAAATACCACATTTTTCAGTTCTGCCCTCGGGGCCTTTGCAGAAATGCCCCTGGTACCATACGTGTCACTGGTACTTATACTGGCTCCCCGTACGGTACGGGGACCAGTCTCGCACCAGTTTTCAGCTGCTGTGCTCGACGCTCGTACTCAGTGTGACTTGCTCCTGTTTCGGCATTCGGAATCCAAGACTTCGACTTTGTGTCTTTGCCACTGTGTCTGCGTCCGACCCTCGGTCGTGTCGAGCGAGTGAGTGTGTGTGTGTGCTCTCACTCTCTCCCTCTCTCTCTCCTCCCCCTCGGCTCTTCCTGTCCTGTTTTCCCTCAGCCTCGCACTCGTCACAAATGGCAGCACGCCGGGGTAACAAGGCAACTGCTGCAGTTTTATGCCGCAGTAAACTGCAGCAGCAACACTAGCTGCCGCGGCAGTGCCCAGCACCGGGTAATCGCAGCAGCCGTAGAAGTAGCAAGACAACGAACAGCAGTTGCCAACCGCCGAGCAGCAATAATCATCTAGAAGTGGAAGCAATTTCAAACAGCACCTGTCGGTACTTATGCAGACACATGAATCATAGCAGCCACCTTCAGTAGGAACAACAATGACTGTAAACAGCACCAATCAAACTCAGCGGCAGCAAACAATCACTGGAGCAGCTGATATGAACAGCAGTAGTAACAACCGTAACAGTTTGCACTAATCAGTGGCCAGTAACGTGCTATTGCGGCAAAAGCCCCAGCTAATTGCAACAGTTGAACAGTACACAGTACCAATAGGAAGGCAACAAATATAGTGAATAGCAGTGCCAACTGATTGCTGCATTTCACCAGCGGCAGCAAAGGCACCATAGCAACCACTCGTTGGTTAGCGGGCCTGTGGTCTTGGCAACGACAGCCCGCTCTACCGTAAGCTGTACTCGACTGATTCCGAACAACAGCAGTTGCAAACATCATAGCAAATCCAGCAAGGAGCCGTAATACCTGTAGCTGCAAAACAGCAGGTCGAGCTGTTTGTCAAAGACGGCAGCAACAATCT